GTATACTCATTGGAATCACCAGAAGATCTTATTGCAAAATCCAAATTGGTGTATTTGACTCAGATTGCTTCATCTTGTTCCTTATGCATCATCATCCATGCCAATTTGTTTTGCATTACAATGAACTGATGAAACCTGGTATGGAGAAAGAAAATGATTAGCCTTGGAATGGTTGCTTGCAACTCCTGCAAGTGTTTGCAGACAGAACATGCTCTTATATCCCTGAATAGATAAAATCGCTCGACTTTTTTCCCTTTTTGTTTTTCGAATAAATATGTGACAATCTTTTATTCACATAATAGGCCTCCTTGTACAATCTGTCAAAAAATAAAATTTCGTGGAATTTATTTGGGTTTATTCCTTTCCCATGTGTGTTTGTTTCCCTCTATCTCTAATCAATCCATGTATGTAGTGAATGGATTGTATCTATATATGTACACATTCACAGTGTTGATCAGGTATGAACTTCAGGATGAGTTTCAGTCTGAACTAATCTAATTTAAACTGTTGGATGATAATGTATGTCCCATATCTAAGATTCGTTAAATTACCTTTACCTTTTCAATGACGATACTCAAATATGAATTTTACCTTCTCGGTGACGATCTTAAACGAAAAACTTTACCTTCACAATGACGATCTTGAAACCGGAATCCCGGAGTTTGAGTAGAAGCTCTTTTTGAGAAGCTGAAGTTGTGCCCTTCTTCGGAATACAAGGCTCTTCAATTACAGATGCTAATTGATAGGTACTGAGAAAGAATAGCTAGCTTACTTTTCTTCCACACTTTTTTCGTGTATATTCATTTGTGGCAAAAGTTGGAAAACTTGTTGATGCTGCATATGAATGAGTACGAAGAATGTAAAAAGAAGAAGTTACCCATATGGTAGATAGATTCAACTAAATTCAACTAAAAATATTGCTAATTTCAAAGTCAGCAAAGACTAACTACTTGACTGCCCTTTTGAGAAGTGCAACTAAAATTCAACTTATTCAGGCTTTCAATCTTTCATAGAGGATTAGGGTGGTTAGAAGTCCCCGTCAGATTGACAATTTTCCTGGTCCCATACAATCTACATACTATACGTTATGATATTTTTACTTAAGAAATGGAGACTTTTTTCTGAAAATATGACGATTTCTTATTTTAAAGATGTAGACAAGTGCAACTTGAGGCGACTTTATTTGATAAATCTGGAATAAGATGAGTGAGTATGCAATTTCTTATTTTAAAGATGTCCAAGACGAGTGCGATTTTGGAGACGACTATAGAAGTTGGAGTGTTTCAGTAAAAGTGCAGAAGTACTGCTGGTGTTCTAATTTACCTCCTAGAAGCAGTTTTTTTAGAAGTTGGAGGAGACCAACTAAAACTGTTTCTGTTTAAAAAAAGAAGAAGCAGATTCAAACACCCCATGTCTATTGATAAAGTCAGAATAAATTTAGTGAGCATATCAACGTGCTCATTTGAAGATGAAGGGTAGGAGTTGTCTCCTCTAAAAATGGGGGAATTTACACCATTTATCAAGCTGACATGCTCAATAAAACATACTAGTGTGTTCACTACATTTTACCCTTTTATCTTTGACCCTTGTTCAAAAAATTATTCAAACGGATCATTACTATAGTCATATATATAGGTCATTACTCAGATTAAATATTTTAAATGAATCTATTTTCCTATATCTGTACTCCATTACTCTTTAGTATTTTTCAAACTTACCCTTGATAAATCTCAATTAGGGGAGTGTTTCCTATTGCTTAAAAAGGACTTCTATGTTTGCTTAAAAAAGTTGAAATTATGTCTCAAACAGGTAATTTTAAGCGATCTTAAGCAGATTAAAGCAAAAATAGAAGTAATGGTATAAGTGCTTGTAAATGCTTTTTACTCTAAAACATACACTAAAAGTTTTGGTAGCCAGGTGCTTTAGTCTAAAACACTTGGCTACCAAACAATCTATGTTTGGCTTTTCCAAAACCACTTTTCTTTCAAGAAATTGTCCAAAACAGGACTAAAGATTTCTCGTGTTCCAAAATGGGAATCCTATATTTTTATTCCCTGACTATGGGTAATTACGGGTGACGGGTCAACCCAAAAATAATGCTACTTATGAGTTATGACAATGTATAGCCATGCTTAAAGCATGATAAATGTTTCCTATTGCTCAAAAAGGATTTCTATGTTTGCTTAATTAAAAAGTTGAAATTATGTCTCAAACAGGTAATTTTAGGCAATCTTAAGCAGATTAAAGCAAAAATAGAAGTAATGGTATTATGGTATAAGTGCTTGTAAATGCTTTTTACACTAAAAGTGTTGGTAGGCAGGTGTTTTAGCTACCAAACGATCTATGTTTGGCTTTTCCAAAACCACTTTTCTTTCAAGAAATTGTCCAAAACAGGAGTAAAGATTTCTCGTGTTCCAAAATCGGAGTCCTATATTTTTATTCACTGACTATGGGTAATTACGGGTCAACCCAAAAATAATGCTACTTATGAGTTATGATGACAATGTATAGCCATGCTTAAAGCATGATAAATGACAATGTATAGCCATGCTTAAAGCATGATAAATGATGATGCAAAAACATGTCATTAAATTATTGGCAGTAACCTACTCCTATTTATGAGAATAGGGGTGTTTGGATCTGATTCTCAAAACTGATTCTGCTCTTTCAGGGAGCAGAAGCAGAAGCTGGAGTGTTTGAGTGAAATTCCAGAAGCACTTCTGGTACTGCTCTAATTTACTCCACAATCAGTTTTTTTAGAAGCTGAGGGTACCAGCTTCTGAAAACTGATTCTGATTCTGCTTTTGCTTTAAAAAAAGCAGAAGCAGAATCAATTCCAAACACCCCCATAATACTTCTATATTGAAATTCTGGAACGGTTTACTCTTTATTCGGGAATATTTCCTATTTTTGCAAAACTATTAACTTTAACAATTAATTATGGAGTATAAATTATTTTGATCTGCATGCAAAATAATTTATACTTCATGCGTAATGAATAAAATTATTTTCTAATTCTCATTATACCCTTATCAAGCAACCATATTCAAAGTAGCCAAAGCTTTACTTTGTATTCAAAGTTTGTACTATGGCCATCAGATTCAGGCTGTTGCTTCTCCCATAAAATACTACATAATTGATAATAAACCCCCGATTGACCTTTCTCTTTCCACCCAAATCCAAAACTACGTAAGTATTTTTGTACCGCCATTGTTAGCCTGTTATAGCATGTTTCAATGTGGTGAACTGGTGATGGTGGTCTACTGACGAGTAGTCGAAGAAAAAACACCGATGGACACTTGCTCAACAGAGTTCCCGTAGTGTGATGTACCTAGGTGACGAGTATAAAGGAAACAGATCCGCCTTGTATCTGTTTCGTCATCCAGCAGGTTCAGGAAGAAAATTTATTATTGCAACGTTGAAGCTAAGATTTAAATCATATTACGTATTAATTTATTTTTGTTGTTGTTACAAAACTACACAAATTGATACTTTGTACAACAAATAGTCATACACACTACATTACTACAAGTTAGTAGTAATTAGTTATTTTTAAAACTTTAGCATTCTATACGCATGTACCAAAATATAACATAAATTATCTAAAAGAAAATAATAACGTGGTTTATATGAACACACATTTTGCTATTTTAATGATAATGAAACCATATTTGGGCTATATAATTATTTGTCTAAATAAGATATTTATGGGATGAAAATATATAAAAAATTCACATGTACGAAGTATTAATTTTGAACGGTCAGTCTGGTATTGTTCGGTTCTCAAAATCTAGAACCAGTTTCGTATCCGTTTCTAACAGTATAGTTTCGGATTGCGATAAAATTCTATAGAATTGTTTAAATACCCGATATTCAGTTCAGTATCATTATGGACCGGTTCGTTACCAGTTCGGTTTGGTAACCAAGCATCCCAGCCCAACTGATTTTGAGGTTACCGTGCCTAGTGGGAGGTCTCGAGTTCGAAACCCGCTAGACACATAAGGGTTTGAAACTCAATAGAGTGAGTTTCAGCCCTCATTACTCCAGGCTCCCCCAGCCCCCTCCCTCAGACCCCCGGAGTAAAAAAAAAAGTTCGGTTTGGTTTTGCGCCCACCCTACCGATGGGTTCAAGCACACTCCTCAGCTTGTGGGAGTCTGGTCCCTCTCATTCTCTATCAACTATTCTAGAATGCTTCTGGACCCTTCTCGCTTTCTTCACCTATTTGAATTGTTTTTATTTATTAATGTTTAATTTATTGACTGTACATAATAGTTTGGGGGCTTTTGAATAGAATTACCCATAGAGCGGGAGTGAAGGCCTCCATGTGTTAAGGTTTTGGAGCCACGTTAGGGCGTTGGCTTAGCCTCCTACCGACAAAAACCGACAAAAACATGCTAAAAACTGACCGAAAATGACACGAACCGACCGATATTAACCGAACCGAACCGAAACCGACTCAAGTAGTGCGGTTCGGTTTACAATTTCATCTTTTCTAAAACCGAAACCAACCAAACCAAACTTACTAAACCGAAAACCGACCAAACCGAACAGACGAACACCCCTAAATAATTGCGAGCTGTGAGTGTTTTTTGTTGTGAAAATGCGTCAAAGCAATTATGCTAATCTAGTCGATAATAACTTTGAACTTCTCATATGTTCAGAGTAAAAACCTATTGACTAATACGATAGTATATATGTTTTGAGTAGATGATAAGCATAATGGTTAGTTGTTTTGTACTCCCTCCGTCCCGCTATGATTGTCTCATTTTACCTTTTCGGTCCGTCCCCCTAAGATTGTCTCATACCTTATTTGGTAACGTTTGTGTGATTCTAAATCATTTCTACTTTATTCCTACTTTATCAATTCATTATCAATTACATAAATCCACTTTTATTAATAATTGTACCACCCTCTCTTGTCCCAAACTTAGGGAGACTGAGGTAGTATGAGTTTATAAGCATTTTTCTTCAAAAAAAAAGAATAGAATTCCCCTAAATACTACTTCGTAGTTAATAACAGTAGAGGCAAGTCTCCATAAAAAAACAGTAGAGGCAAGTCCATAACCACATTTCCAAGTTCATAACCAGTGACAGAAGATTAAACAAGGCCAACAATGTCGGATTCCCTTCGGCTCCTTCTCGACCACCTCTTACTGTAAGCTCATATAATACTGCCTAGCTCTTTCTCAATCTCATTTCGGCATCTAACCTGCTACTTATTGTATCCGTGGTAGATTATCCGAACGAATTGGAGATTCTCTCTCCCGAGTGACTTACACCCCGCCGGAATCTTCCAATGTCAACATCAAATCCACTCTCGAATCCCTTCTTCCCAATCGAGGCTCTCCTTCTCTCTCCGAGATCTCCGAAGTCGAAGTCTGTGCTAAAATAAGTGACTTTACGTTATGCTGTGCAGCGTTGGCTGCCGCCTCGGAGTCCACTTACGGGGAGCTCTTGTGGATCCCCAATTCTCTCTCAGAGTCCGCTGTCTCGGCCTTCAAGCAGCTCTCTGAAGCTTACTCGAGCTTTCTGGGCCCTAAAAAGTGTATGAAAGTTGGCGAGTTGGAGCTTGATTTGAAATTTATGCCGAGTGACGTGAGGTTACTGGTTGAGTTAATGCCTCAGGTTTTGCCTTCGCTTAAGAATAAAATAAAGGGAAGTGCCATTGACAAGTCTATTGACACTGATGAATTTTTTGCTGCTAGCGCAAGAACTCCTGTAGCTTATGCAATTCTTGCTGCTCACCAACTCAAATGGATTGTTACCCAGGTTCGTTACTCTGATATTTGATGATATTACGCTTTTCTTTTGTTGTGGAAATATATTATGCGTCATTGCCATTTGAGTTGTTATGGCTGCTTGTTTCCAGTTTTCATGTTTAGTTTTTGGATTTGTTTAAAAACATGTGGAAATGTTTACGGGCTATAGGTGAACTATCCATTTCTGGGGAAGTTGTGCTCTTTGGTGATTCCTTGTGGACTGACAGCTCTTGATCACTGGTCACAGCAAGTAAAAGTGCGATCTGCTATTTCTTTTATTTCGTTGTAGAAGTCTTTTTAATATAAAATTCTACTCCAATATTTACAGATTTAATGGTTTAATTTCATGTATTAGACTAGATGGTGTAAAACACTGTAAAAGACAGCAACAGAACTAGGTGTAGACACATGCTTTCACACAACGTTATTCATATGATTTGTATCAACTTTTTGTTCCAGGGGCAGGGCATGATTACCTTCATACATCTCTCTAAAAATACGAATGCTGCTGAGATTGGTTGGTATGAAGACGTAATTCTTGATGCCTGCTGCCAAAACATTGCTTCTTCAGATGATGAAATATGGCAATATGTTGTTGAAATGTCAGTGCTCATGTTAACTTCCACCCAGAAAAGTAATCCACGGAGCATATGGTAATGGATTTGTGCATAGCATGCGCTATGCGAATACACATTGCTATGTGTACCAATGTTACAGTTTAGACATTTTCATATTTCAGATGTTACTCATAATATCATGGTGGATTAGTTGATTTATAGTTTTCCATAATGTATCTTACTTAACTTTTGTGTTGTATAAAGGTTTGAAAAGCTGCTGAATGAGATGTTGAGTCACCTGGAAAGGCAGCCTAAGAATAAGGAGCGCCGCATAGCATGGCTTACACATGTTGATTCACTGTTTGATGGTGTTGGTCTTGTACTGCTATCTCATTTTAGGCGCCTTTTTCCTCTGTTCTTTCAATGGATGCATGCCGATGATGACACAGTTCTATTGGTAAGACGTCGTTGCATTTATTTGTACAATCGTTATTAGGAATGATCCCTTTTCATGAAGGCCATGCCAGGTTAGTTTAACCATAAGGTTATTTGCAGGGAGGAGTTTTTTCTTTGGGTGGGGAGGGGGGGTATGGGGGATGGTTTTGGAGTACTTTGTCTACATTTTGATATATACTTCCTCCGCCTTTAATTGCAGGCACTTTGCTTTTGTGCTAGTCACCCATGTTACTTTGATATTGTTTTTACTTATGCATACAAACAAATCATTTTATATAAAAAGTTATTAAATTTATCACCATGTAAAATTTATAAACACTAACCTTTGTTCTTTCTACGAATCATGTTCTATAAATACAATTTTTTGAACTTTACTAATGCATAATTAACATGAAATCAAGTACTTGCAGCTAGAAAAAACCGAGGTTAGTATTTCGTATATGAGATTTTATAAAGAGTGAAAGACTAACACAATTTGTGATCATACAACATTTGAATAACTTTTTATTCGTTTTTGGAAAGACACTCCAAAACCCTCTATTTATCAATACAAATAAAAGTACAGAAACTTCTCAAAATAGGTGTAAAAACAATGTGAAATTCCAAAATAGGAATACAATAACATTTTGGACGTATTTAATCCCATAATTGGCAGTATTTTCTGAGCATGACAATAATTACTCTTATTTAGTGAAAAAAACGTTATACTCCTCCTTTGGAATTTTACACTGTCTTTTACTTTTACACCTATTTAAGGCAATTTCTGTCAAAACTAATTATAAAACTAGCAAGGTGTGGACATAATATACATCTGGGTATCGATGGGTATACATAGGTGCTAATTTTGGTCCTTAGCTTCAGGTACTGGAGCGTACTAAAACAGTTCTGAGATTGACATGGATAAGGAATTCGCCATACATTGACAGGTTATTTATACCTCTGAGTTATTATTATCACAATTAATCAATTGCAGTTATATATGTTATTGCCATGTTACATAGAGGTATAAACAACTAAAACAATCATAATTTTTTGTATGAAGCATTACCCAAATTTATTCTCTGGACAAATAGACCATTTTGCATTTAAGCTCTAGTTTGGGATGTAGATAGTTTGGTAATAGAGTACGACTTGATGGTGAAGGCTTGGAGCATCAATGCTGAATGGATCGCTTAAGTAATTGGAATTTCGATGATTTGTAAATTACATATTCTACTTTACTTTCAATCTAGCCACGAGCCCATTGTGGAAGTGGCGCTTCAGTATGAACTCCGGCATCTTTAAAAAAAATCCTCTGTAGTAATTATTGGTTCCACTTTTGAAAAGCTGAACCTGACTAGGCGCGTTGTGGAGTTTTGCCTAGCCTTTAATTGAATAGTTTTTATGTGGTTGCTTAGTTTTTTCGAACTAAGTATCTAACATGGTTTTAACATATATTTCCTGTTATCTAAGCATTGCAAAGATTGATTCCAACTGAACATGAGCAAACACCAAATGATTATGAATCAAAGGACCTAATAGGAAAACAACATCAATTATGCCACAATTTCGTGTAATATGTATCTATAATTGACTTATTGATGTGCATATAACTACTGTATGAATCAAACAATGTTCTTTCAGTACAAAAACTATCATTTTAGGAAAAGACAACTTAGAACTAGCAAAATCTCGAGCCCCATGTATTAACCATAGAAAGCAAAAATTGAAAGGTTATAGGCTATAGAGTCAAATAGGCCCTCGAACTTACTTAAAAGTGCAATTCACCCCTTATATAGGAGGCTCTGTTTGGCCGTCGCCATTTGAGGCAGTTCCCAGTGGAGTATTTTGATGTAATTTTTTGAGCATCTTCTTCATTAAGTCTAGTTTACCCCAGTGTTGTCAATCCCAGATAGCGGAGCGGAGCGGCCAGCCCCAAAAATGCTATAGCGGTATAGCGGATAGCGGGATGACCGCTATTTAGGCTATTTCAAATATAATAAATAAGTAACTGCTAGAAGCATATATAATACATTACATACACATATTGAGTTCAAAAAGTATGATATATGTCAATGAAGTTGCAAACATCTTAGCATTCATAAATCCTAAATTACTTAGAAATACTCTTTAGTTTCATGAGCAAAACAAAAGATGTTATTAATGATTAAAACATCTTAAGTCAAAACATTGAATCAAAAATAAGGTTTTAGTTTAAGAGTTTAAGCCTTGATATATTAACAGTCAAACTGTTCCACTTCCAAGCTGGGTCAAGGTGTTTTCATGTGGACTTAAACATGGCAGTAGACTCCATACGAGATAATAAGAAGAAAAGAAGACTCACTGCAGGTCTGTAGCAAAAGTTGGAGAAGAAGATGTTGCAGCAGAAGAAACTACTGAGAAGAATGAAGGAAGAGGAGGACAGCACGTGTAGTTGTTGGAGAAGAACCAATCGCAGAGCAGAAACAGGGCTTTCTTGGAGAAGAAAGCATCGCAGAGCATAAAAAAAAAGCCAAAAACTGGAGTCGTGAGTTTTTACGTACGTTTAAGGGTTTTAAGTAGTTAATATTTTGTTTTAAAAGTCTAGTTTACCCCTTCTATACCTCTGCGCTAAAAAAATTTAACGCCAAAAACCCTCTCAACCCTTTTACCACAAATCTCGCCGCTATAGCGACCGCAAAAACCTTCTCCGCACCAACGCTATAGCGGGCGCTATAGCCGCTACACCCAAACGCCACGCTACAGCCCTCCTGGTAGCGCCTTCCATGTCTGCCGCTCCGCTAAACCGCTATAGCGCGCTATAGCACCGCTATTAACATCACTGGACTTTACCCATACCAAATTTCAGATAAAAATTCAACCGGGAAGGCAGTCAAATGATTTTCTGAAATGTACTGCGCTGTTTAACTGCACAATTATCTTGAAAAATTTATTTGACTGCCTTCCTGATTGAATTTTTAGCTGAAATTTGGTATGAGTAAACTAGACTTAATGAAGAAGATGCTCAAAAAATTTCATCAAAAAATTCCATCGAGAACCGCCCCAAATGGCGACGCCGGACAGAGCCTCAGTCCTCCTATACAAGGGGTGAATTTCACTTTTTAAGTTAGTTCGATGGCCTATTTGACCCTTTAGCCAAAGTTATATGTTAATACTCCCTCCGTCCCTTTAAACTTCCCGGTTTGTATCGCACACATTTTAAGGAAATGACTTTTCCCCTTTGACTTCCTAAAATGCTCTTTTTACGGAGGGGTAAATTTTACCGTATCGTACACTGTTTGACACTATTATGTCATTATTACTTGTGGGTAGTAGAGTAAATTGATAGAAATTTTAAAGGAGGAAAAAGACTATTTAGGGACATCCATAAAAGTAAAGTGAGAAGTTCTTTAAAGGACGCAGGTAGTATAAAAGACTACTGGGGTATTGCAACTCAGGGAATACATGACTATTATTCTTTTATACTAAATGGGAAATTCCCCAATATATCACTTGAACATTTATGCTGGCACATAAGGTGTGCTTTTTGCTTAAAGTGGAGTTCCTTCTCAAATTTATTACTAGTAATGTTTTAAGATTTCCTCCCTTATATATTGATTGACCTGCACGTGCCTGCAGATTGGTGGATGAGCTTGTCAGTTTATACAAGGAAGCAGCAATGAGAACTCTTCGTGATGATATCAGATCACTTATTCTTGAGACACTTATATTGCTGCAGCAGTATGTATTTTGAATCTCTATGCTCTCTTCCCACTCCTGTATGATATTAATGTTTTGCCACCCAGACTAGCTGGGACACAACCTTTTTTTTTTTAATTTTTTCCTTTTGTTTATTTCCTTTCTGCCCACTTGTCTCCAAAGATGCAAGGGTTCACAGTTCCAAGTAGCTTGGGACAAGCATAAGAATGATCTGGATTTGACTCTTCTCCATCAATCCTTTGCCGGAAGACATACTACAGCGGTCTGAAAATCTCTTAGGTTTTGTGATGATTCTCCATTAGACTGAGAAGATAATCTGATACTTGAGTAGTTGAGTGTCATGCTTGGGTTCAGAATCTCCGGTCTCATTCACTTCACCAAACAGTTTACCTTGTTACCATTGAAGTATTTGCAACCCCTGCTTCTTCAATGGAGTCCCTACCTCTGATTTCAGGTCTGCGGCAATTGACTCGGAGAGGTATATGAACCGAGAGGTGGACGCAATTGAGGGAAAATATGGTAAGATTTGACAAGTAGAGCAATGTAAAAGGTCTCCTTTATCTACCATTATATAGCTATCTAACGTTTTTAAGAATATTAAAATAGAATTCAGGGTCAACCAACCTTGTACATAAAAAACAAGCAAATCACATGAATGCATACTCAAGGTCAATGAACAATTTGTAGAAATATTAACGTTTAAAAGGAATTGCAATGATTATTCTTTGGGATTAAGGATTGAATGTAGTTTTTTGGTTGTTGTAGCATTCATTGGACAAAATTAGGGCTGAATAGTTTCGGGTTGGTTGCACCTCTCAAATTTTAGTAAAGACAGGACATTATTATATTGGGAAATTCTATATACAGCCCGTTTTTGCTAGTTACACACACCCATTACCGTAATTATTTTAAATTTCAAATATGCCCTTGTTATAATTTCACACGTCTCGTATTGTCACAGCCACCGCTCTATCTAATCACACATCAATGTCGGAAGTTTCTAGAGTGAGGAAGAGTCCAGAAGCTAGATCTATATCCTAATCCCAATCCCAATCCCAATCCTAATCCTAATCCTAATCCTAATTATAATCCTAATCCTAATCCTAATTATAATTATAATAGTAATCCTAATCCTAATTATAATTGTAATTGTAATCGTAATCCTAATCCTAATTCTCATTGGACCAATGTGACACCTCGAAAAATTGAAAACAAAATAAATAGGTATGTTAGTCAGGTAAAACCGTAAAATGATTAAAAAGTTGCATTTTAATAATTTAGTGAACCAGATGAAGTTTTAACATTTGTGACATTTTAGTCAAACAAAAATATATATTGATAATATGAGTACTATACAGAGTACTATTAAATTACGTTAATACAGAGTACTATTAAATTACATAACATATGAAACCGATGATTGGAATATCGGCCACTTATATAAATACATAGGGGTATTCATATCGATCAACTCGGCACCAGAGCAAGCGAGGGGATATCTCATAGAGAGAAAAGGGGTGAGAATAGGGTGAAAACGATCGTCGCTGGAGGTGCAGTAGCAAGGTCGTCGGACTGTTTCCGCGCGGGAGGAAGAGGAGAAGGCCGAAGTGGTCACCGACCCGGACCAATCTGCGGCCGCTGAACCAACGATTACATCGCCTCCGCCAGAGACGGGGTTCTCTCCCTGCGCCGTTCTACTCGCCCGCCATTGTAGGTAAGCAAACTGTCCTCGTATTACCAACGTTACTGGCATGAAGATGATGAACGAACTACTCCGTATAGTTTGAACTTGTTGGGCTGTGCTGAATAATAAGAATAATAACCATAATCACAGAAAGTAATAATATAATAACATACTACGTATAATGTGCTACTGGGAATAAGAATAATGATAATTGAATTAGGAGGATTTTAATAAAGTGTAATTTGATAGTTGTCACCCTTTATATAATTTGTCACTTTGCGATAAATTACCAGATCTAAAATAATGGAATTAATGGATGGTTTAATTAAATAAAAAACTAATGAATGGATTATAATAATAATAATAAAATTATTAAAATAAAAGGTTCGAACAAGTGAGTAATAAAGTTATACAGAATGGGGAAGTCTGATAATTATAGAATAAAGTCGGATAATTATAGAATAAAGAACTGATTTTGAAATCTTAATTAATAAGGTGATCTAGAGATCGAGTTAGAAGGCGTGAATTAGGAGCCTCACCAATGTTGTGTAAGTTTCTCTGTCAATCCAAAAATTGTTTCCTCGTATTATATGATTATTATGTATTATGTGATTAAGTGTGGATTGTGAATTATGAGTATGTGATTTTGAGGAATACAAATTTAGAGTACTTTTTGGGGGTATTAAATATTTTTAAATACCTTTGAGACTAATTAGAGAGATTGAGAAGTATCTTTGAAGTATATCTTAATTCAAGATAAAAGTAAAGATTTTATAAGAGATGAGCACCGTGGGAGAAATCCGCGGTGTCGGTTTTCCACATCCGGATAAATGTGGAGAGTGATTAGGGCTACTACTACTAAGAAGTACAGTTTGAGTTTAAAGTAACATTTGGATCTATGATCCCTTTTAAGAAGAAGTTATAGTAGTAGTCCCTAATCATTCAGAGATATCTTATTCAGGGGTAGTTGGTAGACTGTGTCCTGATTACTCGTGACGACTTACTACTCGGAGGGCATGGAATCCCTTTTTGGGGGTGTGCACACTTAAGGTAGTCGTTTCGTTTCCGCAAGAGCAATTGTGGTGCCGGCATTTGTTCGGGGTGGCTGTCTGTAACCACGGTCCACTGGGCTCAATCAAAAAGTTGAGCACCGCCCTTCTAAATTACTAGGAAGTTAGAGAATAAGTGATTTTTTAGATGATCAAAGAAAAAGAGAATTTTGGTGGAGTGAGTTCTTTTTATATAATATTCTATGAAAAAACACTTCTGCCAAACCTGATTATTTTACGGGGTTAGGTAGTACTTACTTAACTCTAAAGCTAATTTTTGTTTCCTTTCCTTTGTTTTGTTTTCTGCACTTTACTTGTGCAGGTGATGATGACTATGTTGATTGTTGATTGCATGCGCTTGAGAGCGGATTAGAGATGCCTTAGAAAAACTTAGTCAAGAATAAACATTTTAATTATGTCGAATATTTGTTTTACTTTGTTTTGATTTAGTTGCCTGTGCATTCGGTTAGGAGATGACCGGATGTGGCGGTAACACCCATTTCCCTTTTCAAACTTCCGGTGTATTTCTTCAACATTATGATGAATGAATAAAGAATTTCCTTTAAATTATCAATGTTTTGGGTGAGAAATATGGGGGTGTTACAACCAATCCTAATTATAATTCTATTCCTAATCCTAAACCAAATCCCAATCCTAATCCTAAACCAAATCCCAATCCTAATCATAATCCTAATCATAATCCTAATCCTAATCCTAATCCTAATCCTAATCCTAATCCTAATCCTAACTCTAATCCTAATCCGAATCCGAATCCGAATCCGAATCCGAATCCGAATCCTAATCCTAATCCTAATCCTAATCCTAATCCTAATCGTAATCCTAATCCTAATCCTAATCCTAATCCTAATCCTAATCCTAATCCTAATCCTAATCCTAATCCTAATCCTAATCCTAATCCTAATCGTAATCGTAATCCGAATCCAAATCCTAATCCTAATCCTAATCCTAATCCTAATCCTAATCGTAATCCTAATCCTAATCCTAATCCTAATCCTAATAATAATCCTAATCCTAATCCTAATCCTAATCCCAATCGAAATCCTAATCCTAATCGTAATCCTAATCCTAATCCTAATCCTAATCCTAATCCTAATCCTAATCCTAATCCTAATCCTAATCCTAATCCTAATCCTAATCCTAATCCTAATCCTAATCCTAATCCTAATCCTAATCCTAATCCTAATCCTAATCCTAATCCTAATCCTAATCGTAATCCTAATCCTAATCGAAATCCTAATCCTAATCCTAATCCTAATCCTAATCGTAATCGTAATCCTAATCCTAATCCTAATACTAATCGTAATCGTAATCGTAATCCTAATCCTAATCCTAATCCTAATCATAATCCCAATCCCAATCCCAATCCCAATCCCAATCCCAATCCCAATCCCAATCCCAATCCCAATCCCAACCCCAATCCCAATCCCAATCCCAATCGTAATCCTAATCCTAATCCTAATTGTAATCCTAATCCTAATCCTAGTCCAATCCTAATCCTAATCCTAATCGTAATCCTAATCCTAATTGTAATCCTAATCCTAATCCTAATCCTAATCCTAATCCTAATCCTACTCCTAATCCTAATCCTAATCCTAATCCTAATCCTAATCCTAATCGTAATCCTAATCCTAATCCTAATCTTAATCCTAATCCTTATCCTAATCCCAATCTCAATCCCAATCCCAACCCCAACCCCAATCCCAATCCCTATCCGAATCCCAATCCCAATCCCAATCTCAATCCTAATCGTAATCCTAATCCTAATCCTAATCCTAATCCTAATCCTAATCCTAATCCTAATCATATTCCTAATGCTAATCCTTATCCTAATCCTAATCCTAATCCTAATCCTAATCCTAATCCTAATCCTAATTCTAATCCTAATCCTAATCCTAATCGTAATCCTAATACTAATCCTAATCACAATCCTATTGCTAATCACAATCCTAATCCTAATTCTAATCATAATCTTAATCCAAATCCTAACCCTAATTATAATCCTAATCCTAATCCTAATCCTAATCCTAATCCTAATTGTAATGCTAATCCTAATCCTAATCCTAATCATATTCCTAATGCTAATCCTAATCCTAATCCTAATCCTAATCCTAATCCTAATCCTAATCCTAATCCTAATAATAATCCTAATCCTAATCCTAATCCCAATCCTAATCCTAATCCTAATCCTAATCCTAATCCTTATTCTAATGCTAATCCTAATCCTAATCCTAATCGTAATCCTAATCCTAATCGTAATCCTAATCCTAATTTATAATCCTAATTCTAATCGTAATACTAATCCTAATCCTAATCCTAATTATAATCCTAATCCTAATCCTAATTATAATCCTAATGCTAATCGCAGACCTAATTCTAATCCTAATCCTAATCCTAAACCTAATCCTAATCCTAATCCTAATCCTAATCATAATCCTAATCATAATCCTAATGCTAATCGCAATCCTAATCCTAATCCTAATTGTAATCCTAATCCTAATCGTAATCCTAATTCTAATCCGAATCGTAATCCTAATCCTAATCATAATCCAAATGCTAATCGAAATCCTAATCCCAATCTTAATTCTAATCCTAATCCTAATCCTAATTCTCATTGTACCAATCCTAATTATAATCATAATCCTAATCCTAATCCTAATTCTCATTTTACCAATCCTAATTATAATCTTAATCCTAATCGTAATCATAATCCTAATCCTAATCCTAAACCAAATCCCAATCCTAATCGTAATCCTAATCCTAATCCTAATCCTAATCCCAATCCTAATCCTAATCCTAATCCTAATCGTAATCCTAATCGTAATCGTAATCCTAATCGTAATCCTAATCCTAATCCTAATCCTAATCCTAATCCTAATCCTAATCCTAATCCTAATCCTAATCCTAATCCTAATCCTAATCCAAATCCTAATCCTAATCCTAATCCTAATCCTAATCCTAATCCTAATCCTAATCCTAATCCTAATCCTAATCCTAATCCTAATCCTAATCCTAATCGTAATCCTAATCGAAATCCTGATCCTGATCCTGATCCTGATCCTGATCCTAATCGTAATCCTAATCCTAATCCTAATCGTAATCCTAATGTAACACCGTCCCCAAATATATTTACTTTTGTGTAAATAATGTATTGAACCTTATTAAAGGATTAATGAATTTACGAAGTTGTAAATTTTTTATTATTTTTTTCGCGTGAATAGTAAATTGCACGTGGGACCCACACCGGGAGCGGGGGCCGCCCGACACTCCCAAGACCACATATTTTATTCATCTTGGTCAAGATAATATTTATATAGTGGTGGATATTTTATTTGGGTCGTGGAAAGGCGCAGGGTTGACCGATTGGGAAAAAGAGGCCCAATTACCGGTACCGACAATTTATCAGATAACAGCCCGAAAATGAATTTCGGAGGCTTATAAATTAAAGTTGGGGAATGTATATTCATTATACATGTCATAATGAGTAAGAGCACATAATATATTTTATTTGACCCGATAAAATAAAATATATTTAAAACAGTCCGAAAAATACAACTTTCGGGGCCGATTGTACACATCGGGACTTAATGGGATGACCTCCCACAAGGGTGGGGGCCACCCCACGTTTTTGTGTGCTCAAAATAAACAAGGAGGTGGCTGAGTTGACAAAGGAAGGAGTGGAGGAGGTGCTTTTGGCATCTAAGGTACATGGAGGACCCCCCTCCCTCACTCATTTGTCAATTAAGACAAAAGTGAGACATCCCCTCTCCCTCCAACCATTGAGCTCGACCAAACCATCCAAGGGAGAGAGAAGGAGCTTCAAAATCACCTCCATTGCTGCAAATTTGAGCTCAAGCTTTAGTGCTCAAAGGAAGAAGATTAAAGAGGGAAAAAGTTGGGAAAAGTGTGAACAATTAAGGTAATGACCTTATATTAACTTTTCCTTTATTTTTCTTCCACCATATGAAGTATATATCATATGAAGAACCTTTAGTATGGTTCAATATGTTATAAGTATGGATTTATGGGGTGGGAGATGGTTCTAAGTCCAAGAACGGACTTAGAAGCCAAAACGACCGGTTCACCGGAAAATAACCTTTTTGAGGTTATTTGTATTAATATGGGTTTTATGATTATAAAACCTTGTTAGGCACTTGTAAAGGGTATTTCAAGTGATTTCACAAAGTTGGAGAAAGTCGCCGGAGTTGTCGCCGGAGTTGACCGAGTCGTCGGAGTTTCACCGGAGTTCAACCAAGAAGGGTAGAACTTCTTAACGCTAGTTCAAGGTGAGTGGACGGCTTAATAACTTATAACTTTTGGGTCAATTATGAGATTACCTAAATAAATGTTATATGTGTTCATAATGATGTTTAAAAGATATTTAAACATGTGATTAGCCAACATAGTTAAGTGCGTATGAAAAGAAATAATTGTTTATGCATGAAATATGATATGAGAAATTATATATAATGCATATTTGCTTTAAGTGTAAAAGAAGCACAAATGGATTTTATTAACTTAATTATATGATGATTTAGTTAATAAGTGTAAGACTTGAGATGGCGGTCAACAACAACGTTGACCGACGGATAATGGATTAATTAATATCGATTGGTATTAATTAATTATACATTTATATAAATGCATGGCTTTGCATGGAATGTGATACATAAGTTTTTATGTATTGAATTAGTTATGGATGACTAAATATGATATAGACCCTATCTAGTGTGATAAGTGGTAAGTCATAGGTCGGGTGGAGTACCCAAGGATCGGGTGGTTATCCTCAAAACTCGGTTATATAGGGTGGAGTACCCAAGGATCGGGCGGTTATCCTCAAACCTCGGTTATATAGGGTGGAGTACCCAAGGATCGGGCGGTTATCCTCAAAACTCGGTTATATAGGGTGGAGTACCCAAGGATCGGACGGTTATCCTCAAAACTCGGTTATATAGGGTGGAGTACCCAAGGATCGGGCGGTTATCCTCAAAACTCAATTATAGGGTGGAGTACCCAAGGATCGGGCGTGTATCCTCAAAACTCATAGATTACATTTAATGATCTAGGACCGGGCGGTGTCCTTATGATAAATTATTTGCACAAGGAGGAGTTCTATACACTCATAGGTATATGGGTGGGTGGGGATTTAAGTCAAGGATATTGGCTACTATTATTTTCCCAAATAAACAATGACCTACGGGTCGGGTATTTCCAAGTGTATGTATACAAATATGTATTTCAAACTTGGGGAAAGGACTATACGTATATGTATCACCCTATGTTTGGGTCTTATACTTGAAACGCTAGTTATTCTATATTTAGCCTGCTACTCGCTCGGTACTTGTACTGACCCCTTCGGGGGGGCCCCACCATTTTCAGGTTGAAGTTAGGGCTTGCTACCTGCACCTTTCTACGGGTGACATCAAATCAAGGAAGACGTGGTTCGTGCTTCCTCATTTTATTTCAAAGTACCAAACATTGCTCATGGATATTTTTATTAGTTATAAACCATTTTTGGGCTTGCAT